GTTTTTGGAACTCCCAGCTGACTCAAAACCCTGTAGATCCAAATATAATCCTTTATAACTTCAGAAAAAAGTAACCATAACCCAAGGTGATGTTATTTTCCCTTTGGTTTTCTTACACAGCACAATTCGTGTGGCTAAAAATGTTTGATATCACACAAAGAGGGATAAAGGTAGCAGTCCTCGCCTCCGGTGTCATACAATGCGCAGCAGATCTGATGCACCTCAACTGACTGTTCCCTATGAACAGTTTTGGCATTGGCTGAAAATAGTACTGAGGGTAACTTGCATTGACCATGTGATGACACTTTGAGTTGCAAAATTACTTTCAGATAACTTGCACTGAAAAAGTAAAAATAGCACAGTACATTAGACTCATCTATGTGGAATGTATATCTGCAAAAATAGGGCTCCTTAATATTTACAGTTTGTCTAGGCAGAACAACCTGTCATGCTACACTCTGTTTCACTTCTAGGCAAACAATTTGCACTGATAATGTTGCAGGCTGTGCTGTTCCCAAATGTACAGCAAACATGAGAGAAGCATTAATTTAACCATTCTCTTCCTAGCAAATACCGTGCCTGTGAAATGTCATTAGTGAGCTCAGACAGAGGTGAGAGGTCACAGCTTTAGCAAAAAGTGATTAAAATGTGTCCCAATGTAACAGACTAATTAATCTTTAGATGATAACAGGGTGGTTTTTCCTCTTTTCTTTCTCCAGCTGGGAGTGTTCACTCTCCCTCCACGAGTATGGCAACGTCCGCGCAATACAGACAGCTTATAAATGACTACGGACCCCCATCTCTAGGCTACACACAAGGGATGCAGGTACAGCTCTGCTTGTTGTTTCTCTTTAATCAGATCACTGACCCTGCATAGTAGCCCGGATTGTGGCCTGTAATCTGAGGTGTTCCTCCCTCCCACCAAGATCTGAAATCAAACCCAAATGGCAGACTGATTCATCACACATGTCTTGGGATCAAATTAGACTAAGCAGAGTGCTGAGTGAGATTGGTTACTAATTAACTGTTAGTCCCATCCCATCTGAGTCACTGTGAAACATGTCTTCAGTTATGTTGAGATTTACAAGAGCTCTTCACATATTTTAGTTGTTAAAAAATGACTATTTGGATGATGTTTCTCTTCAGTAAATTTATACTCTAAAATTTAGTCCCATAAAGTGTGTGTCACACACAGTCCTGTGGGCTGCTCCAGGAATCTGGCTGTAAACTTTTCATTAGATGTTTTTGGCTTCATAGGGTTTCCCTTACGATACAGGCAGTTTTGCTTTATCTGCTGCTCACTCTCCTGCCGTCCCCACAAAAGGTACGCCTAAACACTGAAGAAGCAGGAACAGAGTTAAATAAGCAATTCCCAGCTTGCTGTTCTTGCAGTTCTGTTTTAGCTCCTGTTTCACCCAGGCTCCCTCCCTTGCAGCTGCATGCTCCCAATTGATCCTGATTTTTGAAGGGCACGTAGCATTGTGTCCAACTATAGTGGCAACCACAAAAAGCAAAAGATGTTTCTATAATAAACCTGAAATTTTAATGTCTTAAAAAGTGGCTTTTTCTCCCTGAGCTTCCAGTTGCTGTTTGTTGTAATTGTTCTGTTTGCAGCAGTATTTGATTGAGATTAATCTGCTTTCAACTACAGGGGACCAGCAGCAGCCAAGTACCACAAAGCAAATATGCAGAACTTCTAGCTATCATAGAAGAACTAGGAAAAGAGATTAGACCCACGTACGCTGGGAGTAAAAGCGCGATGGAGAGGCTAAAAAGAGGTAATGTTTAAATCTATTTAAAAAGAATCATATCCCATACACTTGGAGCACTGACTGCTTGTGTACAGCTTTATGACAACTGGTTCCTTTGAAAGGAGGCAGCTGTTTTGAGCTCATCATTAAACTGGGTGTATTAATGAGCAACTGAAACCGTGGGATACTCCACTCATGCTGCATTTGATAGATAAACCAGTGACAAAATGGCTTTCATGTGCACAAGGGGAGTTTCAGTTAGTATTTCACATCTTCTTTCAGACCCATAAGGTGTCTAATGGATATGTGCTTTCAGGTTCCTGGTGGCTGACTTGTCTCTTCTATTTTCCTTTCCTCCCTGGTCTCCAGAATACATGGCCAAGCATTGTTTACTTCTCCTCATGTACATCACCCATCTACTTGACCCAAGAGGCTTTACTAAAGTGCATTTTCACACTAAGGTTGATGGAGAGCTACAAAAAGGGAATAAAAGGTTGGGGGGGGGGGGGCTGTGCAGACTGAGATGTCAAACATACAAATTTGTTCCTCCACTCTGTTACCTGTTGTCAATGGATGTCATTAAGAGCCCACCAGGGAGGGACATTGAAGCTTTTAGGCCTGGTTGATAGGTCTTTCCAGCTTTGCTTTGTCAGCTAAAAGGGGTAATAAATGCCCTTTCCTTGCAGTGTAAAAGAAACCTCTGCATGCCCCACTGCTGACATCAGCTTGACATTGTCCTCTGCAGGGGACGTGAGAGGGATATTTCTGAAGGAGCAGTGGGACATTCCACTGCCCCAGCTCCTGAAATTACCCTGAAAGGCCATGGACAGCAGTTGTGCTGGCAGTTCTGTCCCTTGCCAGCATAATGTAGTTACTGTTTCCTTGGTCCTTGTGCTGGGTTTGGCTCATGCTTTCAACCCAGAATGGGAATGTTATTGTAGCAGACTAACTTCACCACCTTGCAAATCCCCCTTTCATTTACCCAAGACTACAAAGCTTTATTTAAGGCTCAACCATTATGGGAGAGTAATATATCTGCCATGACATGCAATAAAATGACTAGTAGCTGTTCTGGGAAAGGATGCAATAAAGTCTGCTGATGAGTGGTAAGTGGAATCTGGCCCAGCTAAAATCAATGTTGCTGGAGTCTCTTTATTGCATTGCCTGAGTCAGTATTAATAGATCATGAATGGCAGTAGGCTAATGGGGACAACCTGAGAGGGGCTGGGGGAGATGCAGACATCCTCAGTTTGGTCAGGAGAAGTAGTTTTGCTGCTGCTCGTAGTGAGTATTCAGTTTGTTCCCTAAGGTAGGTTTCAGATTCAGTGCTGCCACTGTGACTTGCCAGTGTTGCAAAGAATCCCAAATACATACTTTTTGCTGCCATCTTTTGGTCACAGGCCTACCTCTCTTTCCATTTTGGGAGCATGTGCAAGTGTGAGAGCAGAAGTGACTGAGGGTAACCCATGTGACTGCAGCCTCCCTGGCCACGTCTTCAGCTCCACCTGCTCCTGAGCACAGAGGCTGCTGACCTCTAAAACTGGCCAAATTCCCACTGCTCTACATCATTCAGGGTAGTTCTGCTGCATAAACTGGGCATCCTGCCACCAGATCCAGGTCTGATGCACGGCTTTGAGTACGTGTTTCTGCATCCCACAGCTGCAGGATGCAGTTTTACTTGTCTGTGTCAGTTTAACCCTCTGCAAAGCCTCGTGCCTGTCAAGTACCAAGTCAATACTCCTTGGATGTAAAGGCTGTTGCTGTGATCCAGGCTAGCAGCCTTCCAGAAACAGGATCTGTTATCTCTAAATAGAGAATAAACCTCATCTCTTGCGTTATTGTCCTTTCTCCACCTTGTTAAGGAGCATGACTGAGCAGAGAAATCACTTTCTATCTTGTCCTGTCAGTAAAAGATAACCTTGTTTGTAGTAGAAAAACCTGTCTTGTCTCTCATCTCTAAAATCCATCTCAGGCTCTGTTCTTTCAGCAGCTCTGTGAACATGAATCTAGATTTAGTTCCAGGATTAAGAATGGAGGTCCAGATTGCTGGAACTGAAGGCAACAGGACTTGTAGTGAAAAATTCCACATTATGTCTATCAGATGAGAGTAGATGTGGCAGCATGTGAAGTGGTGATGACTTACACTGGGAGCTGAGCCAGTGTTAGGAGGGAACTTTTTGCACACACCATAAAAAATCCTTCTTACAAGAGACACAACTTGTGTTGAAGCAGTATTACGGAGACTTGGATTTTGGTGCATCCTCTCAGAGAACTATCCCAAGGCATTAAGACTCTTGGAGCTTGTTAAAATGACTCCCCAGGTAACAGTGTCTTTTATTTTTCACTCCACTGCAGCAAAATAACTCACAGGGAGGCAAGATGGGTTTTTTTTCCCCTTTCTATTAAGTCGCTGATTTTCAACAGGCCTGCACTGCACACAAGATATACCTGTCACTGCAGACCTGCAGACCTCACCACGCTCTCTTTGTGTTTAGCCCCTTTCCCATTTATAATGCAGTTTGGGAAGTGAGGGGTCTCCCCTTTTTCTGTGGTAGCCTTGGCAACTCAGGACAGAAATACCTCAACTTTTCTCTGCAGCATCATTACAAGTGTGACCTGAATGAGAAGACTGAAAACGTGTCCAATTCTTTTGCAGGCATTATCCATGCTAGAGGATTAGTTCGGGAATGCTTGGCTGAGACGGAACGAAATGCAAGATCCTAGCCCGCTCATTCCATTGCTGAATGAAGAAAAAGTAACACTTATTCCTTTTGACTCTTGAAACATTCAGACAAATTCCTTTATTTTGAATGTTTTGCCTTTCTTGTTTCACCCTTATGAAAATGTATAGTTAAGAATGAGAAAACAAGGATTTTTCAACTTCCTGAGGGTTTGCGTTTTGTAAAGACATTAAAACTCCCTGAAAATGTTTCTAAAACATGAAAACTGAACTGCATGCAGAGGAATGCTCTTTCTCTCCCAGGCTCTATTTCAGTTCTCTTCTTATCCAGCCACAGTCTCATTCTGGTTTTTGGTTTTTTTCCTTTGACTGTATTCACTTAACCCCAAACTGTCAATCCTCCACAGTTTGACATAAGCTCTAAGGATTTTGTTTTAATGAATGCAGAATAGCATGCTGTCCCTTGTAGTCTGCTAAGTCACACTTTGTCATACAGCATAGACCCTGCTTAGAAATAACCTTCCCCTTCTCTTATTTTCCCTTTTTTGTTCGTTTTGCATAAACATTTGCATGACTGTTAGTGCTTTGAAGTCCATTTAAAGTGCATGAGTTATATGGAAAACAGGGAAACCTATTAAATAATAACAAGGTCCCGGAAAGCTAATTTCTACATCAAGGCTGGAGATTTCAGTTTAAAATTTGCCAAAAGAAAAAGAAAATTCTGGATAAATTACTAAAACTGTTATTTGCATCTTTGTATGTATTTATTACTTGACGTAATAAAGCTTATTTTCATTAACAGTTTGTATGAAAACTCTGTACAGTCACTTTAATCACATTCATACTCCAGGAACAGGAACTCTCAACAGATACAAATGTAACCTTCATGCAGGAGGTTCAGGAACAGAGAAGGGAACTAGGGAACAGCCCTGCAGATGGCTGGTGAGTTTCCACCCGTGGCAGGTCTGGATGCAGTTGGAAGGTGCTACAGTTGCTGGTAGTCTCTACTCCTTTCAAAACACATTGTCTGGCCTCACTTCCTGAAGCTCTCTCCCTTTGATGCTGGCAGCCAAAACTTGGTGGCAGCTGGTGAGGTGCTGTCCAGAATTGAAAGAGAAGTTCTGGTTAAGCAATCAGAGTTGTGAATGGGATTAAAATGGGAAAGTATTCCTTGCTAGTGGCTGCAGAGTGACAGTAACAAAGGACATGCAGCTGTGTGTATTTGCAGAACATGGGAGACTGTCTGAAATGAGGGAAGATACCCAATGTCTGAGCTTAATGTAGTAAGTAACTGTAATTCACTATCATGCAATCAAATCTAAATCCTAAGGAAGGTGGGCTGCCTGGGCTCTCTAACACATACGGAACTATGGATACTTGCAGCAAATACAGTATTAAGAGGTCAGGTTAACTACTTCACAGCTTGGGTGAACTGGATTCTGCTGCCTTGGGGGGCAGCTTCCAGCACGTGTTCTTCAGCTGTGATAACCCAATTTTACCCTTGAACTGGAAGAACATGACTCACTTGCAGGAGTGAGGGTTGGTTTTAGGCTTGTTCTCCCCAAGCATCTGAACTCCTATGAAGCATCAAGGTGTCATCCAGGCAGAAGGAAATCTATTGCGTTTTCCTGGTCTCCATTAGCAGTGATGGAAGGTTTATAGTTCCTTTTTAACAAGGATTGCTTTAGCATCTTCTGAACTTGGCAGGAAAACTGATTGCTAAATGTGATTAATGAGATGATGGGGGACAGAAGCAGGAATACAACTGCTTTTATCACTTCAGTTTTACAGTAATGGAAGGTCACTACTTCATCTTTTAGCAGTGATGAGGGAGCCCTACATCATCCGTTAGTTTGAAACCTGGGTTTAGGTATAATGACAAACATTCCCCTTACCCTACTCAGGCAAGTCTGTATTTCACATGTTCATTGCTTATCCAGTTGTTCCATCTGTTTAAAAAGCTTTTTCCTTTCTAGGTTTTCCCTTGCTCTTCTTTTCTTCTCCTGCTTCTTCTTCTCCAATGCTTTCTTCTCTTTAAAAACATCACTTTCTTCACCTTTGTAGAAAAGGTCAACTTTTTCCTGCAGGATTTCTCTGGCGATCTTCCGGTTCTTCTCCACTGATCTCGTTTGATGGCACTGAAGAAATACAATAGGGTATTTTTACTGGAACTTTAATCTCTTTATTCTTCTGCTTTCCCTTTCAGTCTATGCATTCCTGGCATTACTGTAAAGAAACTCCTCCACTGCTACTGTAACTTGTCAGACTGGCTTTGGCGTTAATCTTTAATGCTCCCATTTTACCTTGGAGAGCTGTTTCTGAGTTTAACTTAGTGTCTCCCCCTTGTGACGAGGAAGCAAAGATGAATTTCAAAGCATTAATCCACAAGAAGTGGATCCACGGGCAAGAGTAATGCTTAAAAACAATCTGCAGAGTGAACCTGATCAACTTGTTAAGGAAGACACTGTAACTCACAAGAGGGACAGGAGTGCGAGAGCTGCCTCTGAAAGGCAGCTACAACAAAGGAGTTTATTTCTGATAGCCAAAACTTGCTTCTGCCTGAGATTCTCTGCATTACATAGAAACTTTTCCTCCCCGGCATTTGCACTGTGATGATGCATTAATATAATGGAAGACATGATGCCAGTTTGTAACTTAATGGAATAAACCAATTCATTACCTTCACTACAATCCCAGATGGAACGTGCTTCAGGACAACACAGTTGTTTGTCTTATTCGTGGCTTGGCCTCCTGGGCCATTGCCTCTCACAAACTGTTCTTCTAACTCTGCCTCAGTTAGTCCAAGGAGATTGAGAGAGTTCTTTTTCCCTGATGCCTGAAGTAAGGGCGCTCTGGGTAGGGAGAAGTGCCGCTTCCCCAAAATCCATGGCCTCCAGGCCGGCGTTCGGGCTGCCCTCAGTAAGGATGTAAAATGAAATAAACTCGGAACATTCATACAGAAACGAGGACGCAGTTTCTCTGGAACAAAACCTGAAGTGGGGAAGAGAGTTTACCATGAGAATCCTTGTTTTAAGGTCTAGATCCCGCTTTCTGAACACGGATACATGAGTGGCTGTTCCCGGTGTCACTAGGAAGGACGCGGAGGACGATGCCGCCCCGGACACCTTCTAAAG